TCTCCAACACCCAAAAGGTGTTCCAGAGATGGACAGCTACCCCTCTTAAATGGAGTCCCAGCTCTCAGGAGAGCACGCTCTCTCGACAGACTGACAACATCCCTTCAGAAAAACAAGAAAATGAGGCGAATTTGTCTTTCCTGAAAGGGCAACAGACACAGGCTAGAGACCAGGCCCGGTGCACGCTGGCCCCTCACTGTGCAGCCCCAGGGCCCGACAAGAGCAGCACGTGCCAGGGCCACCGACACGACCAGCTGGACCAGGCCCCGCAGACGGAGCTGGGCGCCCCGGGAAGCAGCCGTCAGAAACCAGTGCGGTCACACGCGCACCGTCCACAGCCAGGGCCAGCGTGGCAGTCAGGGTGGGCCACTGTGGGGCACTCGGGGAAGGGCTTCAAACGCTACGAGCTCGCGCGGGAATGGAGACAAGTGCGTCCGCCTCTCCAAGCGTGTGCAGTGGGTCAGTGGGACATCACGGGGACATTCCTCATGGCTTTCCTGGGCCACTGGGACTGTCCACCTCCCAGTTCCTCCTCACGGACTGCCTTAGGTGGAGGAGGAAATGCCCTGGAAACCCTTCTGCCTCTTGCAAAGGTCAAAGGCCCGCCCTGACCTGTGAAGCAGGCCAAGCGCTGTGTGAGGCGTGGCCGTGGGCCGTGGGCGGCCCCTCAGCCTCCGCACGCGCTGGGTCCCAACTGCAGGACGCTTGGCCGGCCCCCCCGCACACATTGTATCAAATATATAATCTGACTGAAAAACTGCCTTGTAAAAATAAAATTTAAACCACCCCACAGATCAATGTAAAGTTACATTACTGCCTATATAAGAAAAACAATTCATCCAGAAAAATTACATTTGTGGCTTTCAAAAATAAATCATCCAACAAACCCGAAGGTAAACATTATGCAATTTATAAAAGCTGAGAAGATAATTTCTACCATATCCATCAGGCACCACATAACTGTAACATCCGTCAGCCAAATCAAACCAGAGCAAAAAGGGAAAAATAAATAGGAACACTTGCATTTAACAACAACAAAAATAACACAGAGCACCCCAACCCCACCGCAGGAACTGAACTGAAATTGCCTTCTCTCGTGACCACGCACTAACCAGGGCAAGCCCTCGGAACAGCGCTGCCAGGCCAGGCTGGCACGGTAGGGGTCACACGCCATCTCCAAGACCCCCTCTCGGGGAGCTGACGCCCCCGGGTCGGGAGAGCACACACGCTCAGCCCAGAGGTGAGCGCACACGGCCAGAATGCAACACGAGCTTGCCAAGAAAAGGCAGGCCCCAACGTGTAGGACCAAAAGGGTGCACGTCAAGACCTCGAGACGGAGAAGACCAAAGCCACACAAAGCAAGCCCGTGCTAAAGTACACGTACGCCCAGTTTAAAAACACTGGTCTGAACTAGGGAAGTCTGAGCTTTCACGACAGAAAGATCAGGATGGCGTCTCTGCGTCACCAGAGGCGTGGATACAAAACGGCGGCTCCGACCGGCTCCCCTGGTCTCTTTAATCCTCAGCTGTTCCGGCAAGAACTTGTCAAAGGTAAGACAGCACTAAAGGGGCAGGAGGACACTGATTTTTTTAAAAAGTGAGTATTTTACAGTATGCTAGGAAAAGGCCCGGGGCAGGGATCTATTATAACAGGGAGACCTCTTCTAAGAGATGAGATAAACCCCAGGTTTCGTCTTTTGAAACAAGCCCAGATCTCTATATCCCAATTTTCACATTCACTTAGCTTAAAGCAAGGCACACCATCCTGAACGGGGTGGGGAAAGAGCCCGCAGTGGGCAGCCGTCAGCTCAGAATGGCCGGTGTCTGCAGAGCAGCCAGGCCGAGGAGAAGGCTGGAGCGCCATGGGGCCTGCACGGGGGCGGCCCGTGTCCTCTGTGAGCCAGCACGGAAGGCGGGAGGGCCGCTCCTGGCTTCTAGGTGAACAGGGCAGGGGGGGCTCCCCCCTGCTTTGAGGTTTACACCGTCTCACAATTGATCCTCATAATGGGGGACTGGTAGAAATTTGGGACAATTATTTTCCTGAGAAGTGGCAAGAAGTTACAGCCTTTTGAGTTCAGAACCGTCAGACGTGTGGAAAGGTGGGCCGCAAACCCACTGGACACGCTTGGTTGAGTAATGCTCTCATGAGAAAAGCTGGACAACACAAGCCTAGGGCTCTACAAAGTACCCTTCTCCAAGGCCTACAAAAAGAAAACCTTCCCTTCAAAATGACGAACAACAGCGTTGGGAGCGCTAACTTCCACCACCTGTGACCTCTCCAAGGTCACGCAGCGAGCCCCTCCAGCCTAGGTGTGGGACTCGCAGAGAGTCAAGACCCCTGGGCGGCCTCAGGAATGCAGATGCCCACCACCTTGGTGGTTCCACTGAGGATGCGGAATCTGCATCTTAACAAAAGCCCTCTCCCCAGCTGAGAGCCCCTGGCAGTACTTTCCAGAGGGAGAGAGAGAGACTTGGCGTTCCAGCTGGCCCTGTCAATGGCTGCAAACTCACCTAATTTCAGATTACGAAAGTTTCTTAGTCAAAAGAGTCCCTCCTTGGCTTGAATGTGCCTGGTCACTTAAGCTAAGAGTGTGTCTGTGTCCTTCTGAGACACCAAGTGCCACTTGCCACTAAAGCGACAGGGAGCTGCAGTGCGTCTTAGAGCAGAGGCTTTTGTCATTCAAAAGGTTTTTTAAAAAGATACAGCAAAGAGACTAATGCCATTAATAAGACACCCACGCGCACGCACACACACACACGCACACACACACCCCACTCTAGGTACACATCTTCACAAATAATAGTCACCCCCGTCGCTGTTGCCAAAACCCAGGCCGAGTGTCCAGGACCGCTCCGCCCGTGGCTCCCTCCCCCCCCCCCCCCCCAGGACAGAGGCGCAGGCAGGGGCGGGTGCTCCCTCCAGCATGGCCCCAGTGCTGGGAGCCTTGCTCCATGCAGTGCTAGAGGTAAATGCCGCGCAGGGCTGGGGCGGGGCGGGGCGGGGCCGGCAGCAGGGAGAGGAGAACCACA